ATCACTGTGTAGTATTTCGGGCCACATTCCCAAAAGTAATGGATAGGGCCAGGACAAAAAGTAACTAAATTTATTTCTTATTATAACAATTGTCCTTCAGTCACATATGCAGTAATTCATCCACTCTGTCTTATTAATTGACCAATGCAATCAAATATATTATGATTGAAGGACTTAGTACCACCAATTCAAAGTTATTCCCAGGTTATGTTTATGTTCACACATAGATAATATTGTATTTCTTCTCCCTACTATCACCACCACCAGATGAAAATGGGAAACCACCAACAATTGTTCCCATAATACATGGCCTGAATGGGGCAATACTGGCTGGAGAAGATGCTCTTGAAAGTAGTTGGGAACCTATATAGGAGTTCATAGGCTAAAATTAGCACTTTGATCTGCATACTTTGCTCTGTGTAGATGTAGTTCCGTTGAGGACTACATGTTGAGTTTGGTTGGTCAGCCAATTATGAATCGATCTCTTGATGGTTTTTTCCAGAAACCCTTTGTTAGACAATGTGAGCCATACAGGACTGAAATTTCATAACTGTGGTGGATTTCACCATTTTTCATCAACTGGATTTTCTGAGTAGACTTCTAGGACAATCTCAGCTGGAATGCACTGCAGTAGTTTTCTCAGTAACCTTGATTATAGATGTATTAACATACATGCATGGACAGCGGTTGGCTTGCCAGACAGACAAGAATGGGCTTGATCTGAAAAAAAAGAATCAAATCCCCTTTGAGATGAGCTTTATGGATATGACCATACATTTTTCACATGTGACAGAATCAGTTTGCAACATCCTTCTTGGGCAGGGGTGAGCAAGAGAACCACATGAGAAACTGGGAATGTTGTGTAGGGCTGAACTAACACATTGAACTGAATTCTGCTCAATTTTAATTTTATCATTTTATAAAAAGCAGTGGGTTATATGATTTTGATTACAATGAATTAGCCACTCATACACGCACATACATAAATTTAAAAAAATAGCAGTTGTATTGCATACACTTCTTTAAAATAAAAATAAAATAAAAGCAATGCAGGTGTATTGCATGTATTAGCATACACTTCTTTACATTTGATTTCTAATTTCTGATTGACCTCACATGGGCTGCACAGGAGAGCTAAAGAACCAAGTGTGGCCTGAAGGCCATAAAATGCCAGATTTGTTCTTGGACAATTTTTTTTTTTCATCTTCTCCACCTAGTCTATTATGCTTGTATAACTAGAAAATATGTCATCCAAGGTTTAAACTTTAACCAGACCTTATCCTGGTTAATCCAGACAAGGCAGATAAATGCTATCCACTACTTGTAGGCTTCATAAGAAAGGCAATTTGCAATTAGGAGATAAACAGAACAAATTAGAAACTGAATCAGATTTTTCTTTCAATATTCTTTAAAAAAACCTGGCAGGGCAGTTGTAAATTTTAACATTGCAAATTATGTATAATTAGTAGCCTCACTTTAAGTGACACAGTTTATCACTTGATTATATCATCCTATTTCTATTTGATTAAACTATGTTTCTGTCAAAAACTAGGATCTCATATCTACTGTCTTACTCAATTATCTACATTGGTCATTACTACTACAACTTACAAATACCAATTAAAGTAAATACCAAGGTGTTTCCTGGTTCTTATCACCTACAATATACATTCTGTATATTTTTAACTACAGCTACTATTAAGAGACATGCTTCTGTAATGCTACTTACTTAAACTATTAACTCTACTACTTGTCAAGGAAGCATTGTCTTTTACAGAAGGATAAACTGAAGTTTCAACCACCCTGATTAAATATTTGCTCAAAGATCTATTTTCATAGAACAGATACTGGAGCACTTCCAGATCCACAAATATTTTGGTTTGAGAAGTTCCTGCTTCTTATGGGACCACCCAGAAGTTTACAGAACTAACTATTATGATAGGTCCCTTGGGACTCTGGTCAATGGGGCCAATGTTATATACAGAAATGGAGGCAGGATAGCAAAGGAATTCATCTTGGAAAAGCTTGGAGCAAGTTCTTTTCCCTCTCTGAACAACTCTGGCTTATGAGGTTTGGTCTGACCTGGTTTTTGGTAATACTGAAACCCTGGGTTCATGATTTGACAAATTCTCAAATGATTTCAGCAGGACCAATTTCACCTGTTCAGATCTTCAGCGACTTGAAAAGTATGTTCCCTGGTTTTCTTGCTAGTCATATGGCTTTCCTGTTGACTGTTTGCAAAATGGTAGATTTTCTGTTTCCAAATAATCGCTTAGCATGTTTGTTCTCGATATATTTGTGCCATCTTTGTCCCAGTATTATTTAATAAAGCTTTGTTAGTTTTAAATATTTGGTGGCATCAGATTTTATATATACTATATTTAGTTAGCTATACAATTTTAAAGTATGTATATGTAGCAGGAGATCCAGAAATTCAATATGGAAGACAGGACCATGTGATTGAAGATACACCCCTTTTTAAAGTGTGCCACGAACAAATAAAAGGGCTTCTATTATACAGTGAAGCCTACTATATGGAGATTTTTTTAGTTCCCATCCCCTCCCCCAAATGCCCCCAAAATTGATAATTGAATCATAAATCTGATGAATGGAACGCCATATTGATGGAAATCTTGAAAGTCACCTCTGTTGGGCCAGAGGTGCTACCCAGGAAGCATTTGAAAGACTCTGATCAATTTTCAAATGCCCATGATAGCTGCTTGAACTGGCATTACAGATTTACATATTGATGTCAGCTGTCTAGAGCAATAGTCCCCAAAGTGGGGTGTACAATTATTTATTTTATTGATTGGTTGATTAAATGTATATACATAGTCCAGGAATGCAGGAAGAAAATGTTAGAATGTTCAATTTCCATGTAATGTTTATACTTAAACAGCAGGAAATTAAGCTGCATTAATAGTGAACTGAATATATAAAATATAAATTTGGGAGATATAATATAAATGCTTTATAGTACAGGTGGTATACCAATATATATGTAGTAGTATGTGCATTTAATATATCAATAAATAAGAAAACATTCATTTGGAATCCATGCTCTTTTTTCTTTTTTCTGATGGCGTTGATAAATCCAGAAAGTTTAGAGACCAATGGTTTAGACTATATATAATCTGTAGGATTATATGTAAGAATGTCCAAGAATTGCTTTGTAAGTTCTGTTGGGAATAGATAGAATAAATCAAGCCCAACAGATCAATAGCAATACTAAATGCTATGCACAAGCCAAGTTCAGTGGATATTTGTCTTTGCCTTTAAAATCCTTATAGGCAGCAGGCAGAGATTCTACCAGCATTTTAAAATGTAATGAAATGATGAGATGGTTCTTGTGCTGGAACAAACCAGGAAGTGTTATAATTAAAGCAGGAATGTCTTGCCACTTCCAATGTTTGGGGCATTTCATCAGTTAAAGGAAGGAACAAAGAAAATCCATCACCAAACCAGTTTGTGCCCACGATCTTTACATAAGCTATACAAATCTGACAATTTGCCTATTGCTCCTATGGGGGAAAAAACAATAGACCAAAACACATGCTTCAAAACATAATTGGAAAGGGGAGCAATAAAACAGAACACATGTCAGCTGGATTCCATGTTCCTATTTATTTGTTTGTTAGATGTAGGATTTCATGGTAGGATACATAGCACTCTCTCCTGTTTCCCCACCCCCTAATTATGATCCTTTGAAAAATGTTGGACTGAGATCATGATTGTTAGTGATCTTCTATGATCAAGGATATACTTGAACATGGGTCTTCCAGGTCGTCTTCCAACCATTGCCCTATATGGCTTCAACCCAAGTCTTCCTTGTAAAAAGCACAATAAAAAATAATGCCTTCTTTGGATTGAACTTGGTTCATGATAACTATCTGGACGTATCCACGAACAACAAGGAGGGACATTTTGCCATGCCTGGTAGATTTACAAAAAAAGCTACAAATAATTTGGACACAGCTGTAGACACTAATTCTGAAGATTTTAAAGATTAACATACAATTGAAATCAGAAGTGTTTCTTTGGGGGATTGATTGATAGTTATGGAACTTTTTATCATATATACATGATAATTACAGAGATTATTATACACCCAAAGATGGAAAGTCTTGATATGACCCAGCATGGAGGAATGATGAAGTTGATGGAACTTGCTAAGACGACCAAACTGACATTTTTAATCAGAGAAAAGATTGGAAACTCATTATAGACATTTTTGCATCAAACAGAAAAAAAAATGAATTCATGATGTATAGTTTTGATGACTGGAAAAAATATAGATTATAGAAAAATGAGTCATGCTGTAACTATAGAAGAAGAGGTTAAATTACCCTTATAGCTGCTGTAAAAGAAAATCAGTAGTTACTTCTTAATATTTCCATTTTCCCCCTTATGCTTTTGTCTTTTGTCTTTTTTTCTTTCTTTACTTCTTTCTTTTCCGTATTCTAACTATTAGTTTCTCATAGTTTTCTTATCAAAATCTTAATAAAGTTCTTTTAAAAAGGAATGAGACAAAGCTGGCTCTGATTAGTTCATTTTAACCCAGATTTAAAATGAATTACTACATAATTATTTTTAATAGTCCATAGATCGGCAAGATTCTATACAGAAGAGCAATTGAATATTTCCGTTATTGCCCTAAAACTTTGGCATAAGGTTATTCAGATTTTCTTTTAAGACAGAGAAAGCCCACCATCAGATGAACACAGTGGTGGGATTTAAATTTTTTTACTACCGGTTCTGTGGGCGGAACTTGGTGGGCGTGGCAGGGGAAGGATACTGTAAAATATCCAGTCAGAGGTGATATTTGCCAGTTCTCTGAACTACTCAAAATTTCCACTATCGGTTCTCTAGAACTGGTCAGAACCTGCTGAATACCACCTCTGGATGAACAGTCCTGGATATTTCCCACTATGTTTATTCACTACTGCATGCATGCTCATTTTTCCTATCTCTGAGCTAATCCTAGATATTATATGTTTCAGATTGGTGCATCACTGATGTCAAGCAATGTGGGGAGTGGCCTATTTATTGGTCTAGCAGGCACTGGAGCTGCAGGAGGACTGGCAGTTGGAGGCTTTGAGTGGAATGTGAGATGACTTTGGGTTTTTTGTTTTTTTTACAAATGGATGGTTTTGGGGAACTCCTATGTGGGTTTGGTCAAATTATTGGGTTGCTAAGTGACACAGTCATAAGGTGCAATGTCATGTGACCACACCAACATAAAGTTCCAACAGTCCCAGTTGCCGTTTTTAGGCAACTTCTGACCAATCACAGCATACCACGGTCACATGATCACCATTTGAGATCTCCCAGTTTCCCCATTGGCCTGCTTGTTAGAAACTCACAGTGAAGGTTGCAAATGGCAATCACGTGACTGCAGGATGTTGCAATGTTGTAATTGCAAGCCACTTGCCAAGTGCGTACATTGTGATCACCTGACCATGGGAATGTAACAGCTGCAACTGTAAGGACCTATCATAAGGAGCATTGTTCAATGCTGTTACAACTTTGAATGGATTTTGTGTGAGTGAACATTAAACAAGAACTAAATGTACTGTAGCTTCACTCTCCATTTCAGAAAATGTACATGCTTAAGCAGTACAATATAATCCATTGTGTTATGTCACACAATATGTACAAAAGGGACAGAGCTTCCAGTATTATAGAACAATCAATGTACTTGTATGGAGAAGTAATTTCATTTTTGGATTATTATTTTTAGCAGATTGATATGGCCTGATTCATTCATTGTGACAGAGTTCCTAAATATTCTAAAGATTTCTTTTGCACCTAGCAGATGATATTTAATTTTAATCAATTCCATGTGATTATAATGATTATATGATCTGCATAGTAATCAAGGAAAATATTACCCCACTGGGTTGAAAATCCAATGTGAAAAGAATTCACTGAGTATTTTCAGAAAAGGGCTAATTCTAAAGAAAAGGCAGCTTTCCATTGAATATCCAGAAGTGAATTCTTCTCAAACTGGCATTTTAAACATACTGAACATAAACTCTTGACAAATTCAGGTTAAATTGTGTTGCCCCAGCACAGTGATCCCTACAGGATTGTGACCCTTGAACCCTGCCTTTGTAGTAATCCAAGTGAACTTAAAAGCCAACTTTGTCTTAGAATTGTTTGAAGGCCAAGATTGTTCCATGCTTTGAGTAACATTGCTTACAGTTACAATACTTCGCTCATAGTACAGTCCTGAGGGATATCTGAACTTCTCAGCTGCCAAAAAAACTGGAGCTCAGCTGTCTCTAAGATGAATTATTTCTCTTGGTGCTAAAGGTCATCCAATAATACATTTCCTCATGTAATAAAGGGCACACTTACTAGAACAGCAAAGAAGCAAGGCTGGACTCCAGTAATTTATATAATAATGAATGAAAAAGGTATCTCCAGAAGCCAACAAAGTTCTAAGCTTAGTGATAAAATGGAAAATATTGTCATCTTCTAATATATATTTTTCAACTTCTGCAATCTACCTTACTGTCCTGGGATTTTCTGAGGCTCTTCCTTTCAAGAATTAACTAGGTCTGATTCTCAAAGACGAGCAAAGTTTTCTTGGCATTGTTACCAGTTTGTGTAGTACTTAAGACTAATAGCTGTCAAGTCCAATGTTAAAGCCTCATCACTTTATCTACTGTATATCTTGAAAACCTGACAGAAATAAAAGTTCAGAAGAAGTTGTATCTAAAAATCAACAGAAAAAGAGGTGTTTAATGCAAGTGAAAATGTGATTTTAAAAGTGTGAGCAAGATCATTCATTTTGATGTTAGATTTCCTGAGGTCCTGTACTTCCACTTAATTAAGATATTTTGACCTACCCTTAGTGTTTTCTATGTTCTAGAAGATGTGCTATTCACTCAAGGAATCATTTCTCTCATCTATCTACTGTCATTTATATTATTTGGTTTCACAATTTTTCTCTTGCCATTTTATAGCAACAAATAATTTTACACACTGTGTGCATATGCTGTATCTTTCTTTTTTTGTTCCTGATAGGCCACCTGGGCATTGATAGTCCTTGGTTGGATCTTTGTACCAGTTTACATATCTTCTGGAGTCGTTACCATGCCAGAATATATGAAGAAAAGATTTGGAGGACAAAGGATTCAAATCTACCTATCTATACTATCCCTCATTTTGTATATATTCACCAAAATATCGGTATGTATCCAAGACAAAAATCATAGCCTTGGGATATATGGTATACTTAATATTCAAGGATGTTTGTTTAGATAAATCACCTCACTATTCTCAATTACAATAATTGTTCTAATAGAGTATGTCCACATTGCCACTACTTCCAAATCCCTTAAAATAATTTTAAAGATGATTTGCTGTTCCAAACTGACTGCTTCACATAGTTTAAAGATCTATTCAATAAACTAAAATAAATTGGATAAAAAGTAAAGTAAATAAAGTAAATTTAATGAAAAAAAGGACTGGGGTGACATGACAGCCATGTTCCAATATCTAAGGGGCTGCCACAAGGAAGATGGAGGCCAATCTATTCTTAAAGTACCTGAAGGCAAGAAAAGAAGCAATGGATGGAAACTAATCAAGGAGAGAAGCAACCTAGAAGGAAGGAGAAATTTCCTTACACTCAGAACAATCAGTCAGTGGAATGACTTGCCTCCAGAAATTGGCGGTTGTCCAACACTGGAGGTTTTTAAGAAGAGCTTGAACAGCCATTTGTCAGAAATGATATATGGTTTCCTGCCTGAGTAGACAGTTGAACTAGAAGACCTCCAAATTCCCTTCCAATTCTGTTATTTGTATCAGTGATAAGTCCAACAGTGGCTTAGATGCTATCCATGTACCAGCATCAAAAGTTACCCTTTTTCTAGTTTTGGCACCTGCTTTACTTGCAAGGGTCAACTTACAATAACTGAGCACAATTAACACTCTTTTCTTCTCCTTTCCCCTCTCTCCATTTGCTTCAGACAGATATTTTTTCTGGTGCACTTTTTATCCAAATATCCCTCGGTTGGAATCTCTATCTCTCTACAGTGATCTTGTTAATAGTGACAGCTATCTACACCATAGCAGGTAATTATGCTATGTAGCAGTATAATAGTGCATGAACAACTGATCCTGGTCAGCAGTAATTTATTTTTATGAAATAGCCCAGAAGTTATATTGGATGAGAGCACTCTATAAAAAGAAAACATATAAGTAATGGTCCCAACTCATAGCTGGGTTCTGAAGTCACCATCAAAGTACTTCAGAACAGTGCACCATTTTCCTCCTTTTTTCTACCATGAAAGTCACCATGAAAGGCTATCATTATCATTATCCCAGAATCCAGGAGCATCCATGGAGTGGGATGGGAATCAAAAATATCAAATTTATGTCTACATGATCCGAAAGGAAGAGAGGGTTACTATTAGTGATCATGGTTGACATCTTGACATTTTTTTACCCTCTACCATGAATGTCCTAGCCTGAATAAGAATAAATAAGAAGGCTAATAGAACTGAACTATAATAGCTTCCAAGCTTTCTTCATATCAAAATAAATTCAAATGAATGTACATAGTTATTTACAACACGTAGCATATAGCGAATGTGAATGTACTGCTTTGATCATCAATATTTAGAAGCATTTGTGGCTGAATCAGTTCTTTGTTTCTCTTTTTATATTGCAGGTGGTTTGACTGCAGTTATATACACAGATGCTCTACAAACTGTAATCATGGTACTTGGTGCTTTGGTTCTTATGTTCATAAGTAAGAAGAAAAAATTGTGTTGCTTACTTTCTTATTCTCATTTCTAAAATAGGACAGATTCAGGGGTGGGATGCTACCGATTCTGCCCGGCTCTATAGAACCGGTAGCTCTGAAGAGCAGCAGACACCGAACTGGTTCTGTATTTGCTGCTGTTTGGCCCACCTGCCTGCCCCAGCTCTTACTTGTCCTTTATTTCCTGCTTTTTCAACCTCAGCTGCTTTGCGCGGCACAGCTGAGGTTGAAAAAAACAGGGAAAAAGTGGCTTTTCAAATGCTGCGCACCTGTGCGCAGTGCTTTTCGGCTGTCCAGGTGGCACAGCTTAAGGTTTTTTACACACACACACACACAGTGCACATTAGGCGCGTGTTTTCACAAATCATGCATCCACACGCAAAACATAGTCACCAAACCAGTAGTAACATTGGTTGAATCCCACCCCTGGACAGATTTCTTGAGTTTTGCTTTTGAAGGTCTTCACAGGATAGCAGTATGTGGTGCAAACATTAATTTTATCTTATGGTTGGAATATCTATGGAGATTCCCAATCATTCAGGTCATGGTTGTCCCAAAGTCTAGTTTTTCAAAAGTAACTAGACTTTATTGTTTTTTTCCCCCTTGAATACATTTCACTTTTCATCCAAGAAGTCCTGGCTGAATGGTGGGAAATAGAAGAATTTATATTCCTTAGCGGTCATCTGGTCATTAGCATTCTGAAGGTCGGTCTGTCGTTAGCTTTCTGAGAGTCATTGAGGCCACTTGGGGGTTTATCTGTACCCTCAGGGGTCACCTGAATCAAAATGGTTGGAATAAAACCTTTTTTAAAAAATATGCAGAGAGGGATACAGACTAAAACATAGTTGTTCCTTCAGCCTGATTTACCTCATTTTTACACAATGACCTAAGCAGGTATAAAATCCTGTGTTATCCAAGTACCAATCAAACAATTGTGGCACTGTAATCACTGTAATGCTTCAAAATTTGGAACAATGTCACTATGAAATATTTATTCCTCAAATCAGAAGGTCTGGTTAGGAAAGAAATTATGCTCATGCTCAGACAGGCAGACAATTATCAGCACTATGGTAATTACATATCCAGTAATCCAGAAATTCTAACAATATAGTAATATTAATACATATGATTTAAATAATATTAACTTAATATAATTTTCTTGATATTGTTATTATATAATGTGTAAGCTTAAACATGTCTCTTGTTGTGTGTTACATATCATATTGCACTATTTATAATGTGTTTTTCTGTTTTAAACTATAACCATACTTTTCAAAGAGTATGTATTACATTCAAAATGCCTCCCATTTAGAATAGCAATAGCAATAGCACTTAAACTTATATACTGCTTCACAGTGCTTTACAGCCCTGTATAAGCAGTTTACAGAGTCAGCATATTGTCCCCAACAATTTGGGTCCTCATTTTACCGACCTCGGAAGGATGGAAGGCTGAGTCAACCTTAAATGGCAGGTGTTAGATGGTTAAAGTTTAAAAATAAATGGTTTCATCTCCCTTCCATAACTTCATTTATATGTGGTGTTTATTTTTTTTAAAAAAAAATCAGGGCCATCCCGTATAACAAATGTAGCTTTTATTTTGGCTCTGAGAGAGTAAATTACATAGGGGGAAAAAGCAAAAATGAATGAATGATTGGACAAAATAGTTTTTTTCTTTTCTTTTCAGGTTTTGAGAAGGTTGGGTGGTATGAAGGACTGCAAGAGAAGTACAGTCGGGCAATACCTAATGTCACTGTCCCAAACACAACTTGCCACCTGCCACGGCAAGACGCTTTCCATATGATGAGAGATCCCATCACTGGGGATATTCCATGGCCTGGGCTCCTATTTGGCCTCTCGGTTCTTGCCCTCTGGTGCTGGTGCACTGATCAGGTAAAATAAATCTCTTTCTCCCCTTCCCTTGAACTTCAGATTGATGATTCACTTCCACAGAAGGATGTTAACAATGCTTCCTACTGAATAATACATATGGAAAACATTACATTGGAATCAAAAAGCCATTTAATTTCTCAGTAAAGATGCATGAGCAGGATGTGAGTGCTCTCTTGCCTTATGATTACAGCACCCAGAATAATTTGTATCACTCAGCTTTTAGGAAAAAAGTAGGATAAAGGCTTCTGTTGCTGGGCAGGAAGAGAGCGAAACAATGAAATACGAAATATAACTTCTGACCTTTGGGACTGCCACAGTTAAAGGAGCAAATTCATCTTCATGGCCACAAGTCAAGCATACATTACAGTGAAACCTTGATTTAATGGACCTTAGTGCAGTGCACTTCAGGTTCAAATTTCTATTGTATTGACGTTGCCAAATACCATTTGTGTAATGATGCTATTACATAAATGATGTTAAAAGAAATAAACTATGTCAATTCCGCTTTTGCCTACTTCCGCTAGCAGGGAAGTCAAGTATATTAGTTCAGGGTGTTAAAATTCACACTTGGGACAAATTCATTTATATATTCAGTTAAATACTACATTAAAATGTGTATTCAGGTAGTCCTTGACTTACAAAAGTTCATTTAGTGACCATTCAAAGTTATAACAACACTGGGGGGAAATGGCTTATGACCGTTTTTTACACTTATGCCCCTTGCAAGCATCCCTATGGCCACCTAATTCCAATTCAGACAGTTGGTAACTGACTCACATTTGCAACAGTTGCAGTATCTCAAGGTGCTGTGATCTCCTTTTGCAACCGGACAAGCAAATTCAGTGACGAAGCCAGATTCACTTAACAATTGTGTTACTAACCTAACAACTGCAGTGATTTACTTGACAAGCATGGCAAGAAAGGTTATAGGTGGAGGCCAAACTCACTTAACAAACGTCTTACTTAGCAACAGAAATGCTGGAGTCCATTGTGGTTGTAAGTTGAGGACTGCCTTTACTTTAACTGAATTGATGATGCATTTTTAAATATTTGTATCTTCTACACATTTATTAGGCAGATACTTTCTCTTAATCTTAGATGTTGCCTTTCCCAAGCACTGGCCATTCTATAGAAATTTCTAAGTTTTGTCGATTGGAAGGTTTTTCAATCAATTAAAGTAAAACGACAGCTGCATTTGTCTCGGTTGGCCAAAGCAGGGGTCTCCACCAGAGGCGGTATTCAGCAGGTTCTGACCAGTTTTGGAGAACCGGTAGCGGAAATTTTGAGTAGTTCGGAGAACTGGCAAATACCACCTCTGACTGGAGATTTTATAGTTATCCTTCCTTCCCCTGCCATGCCCACCAAGCCACGCCCACAGAACCAGTAGTAAAAAAAAAATTAATTCCCACAACTGGTCTCCAACCTTGGCAACTTTAAGACTTGTGGACTTCAACCCCCAGAGTTCCTCAGCCAACTTTGGAACTCTGGGAGTTAAAGTCCACAAATCTTAAAATTGCCAAGGTTGGAGACCCCTGCAGAGGTGGTATTCAGCAGGTTCTGACCTGTTCTGGAGAACCGGTAGTGGAAATTTTGAGTAGTTCGGAAAACCAGCAAATACCACCTCTGACTGGCCCCGCCCCCATCTATTCTCTGCTTCCCAAGTCCCAGCTGATCGGCTGGGTCTTCTTTTGTTGCCCTGCACAGGAGAACAGAGCTGGAAAGCAGGTTAGTGGGGTGGGGAGGGAATGGGGATTTGGCAGCAACCTTCCCCTGCCATGCCCACCAAGCCACACCACACCCACCAAGCCACGCCCACAGAACCAGTAGTAAAAAAATTGAATCCCACCACTGGAACCCTGGGCCAAAGAAATGCGAAAGAAACCATTACCACCAAGTTTCTCCTTGCAGGTCATTGTGCAAAGGTCGCTCTCAGCCAAGAACCTCTCTCATGCCAAAGGTGGATCAGTACTGGGTGGATATTTGAAAATCCTCCCTATGTTTTTCATTGTCATGCCAGGAATGATTAGCAGAGCTCTTTTTCCAGGTAAGCTGCTTCCGAGTGTGGGGAAAGGCATGTGTGCTTTCAGATATCATTTTTCATTAACTGAGCAGCGGTCAATGATCTAGAGAATTGGTTACCCACATGGTAGAGCAAACATTGCTAGGGGTTTAGTCATGGGAATATCAAATTTGGCTGAAAGCATAAGAGAAGGCCTCTCAGAAGCAACCAGAGATGTTTGTTGGAAGCTCATAGATCTCCACATCCAGTCTCCAGAATACCTCCCAAATTGCACTAGAAATATTTGGCAATAAAAGCTATTTTCAACTGTGCGTTTTTATTTCTTTCTGGAAAGGTTAGTGTACCTGTTCAATATAAACTTTTTATAAAGTCTCCACAATCAACATTTCCCAAATATTTTTGTCCTGCTTTCTCCTCAGCTATGTCCCAGGAAGGTGAAAAACTAATGAACGAATGTTCTTTAGAATAAGCTTTTCAGACCAATATTATGGTCCCGTAAGTATCTTATAAATTGCATTTCCCTTTAGGCCAGGGGTGGGGAACTATGATCCTTTTATAATCTGTGGATTTCAACTCCCTGGCTCAGGAATTCTGGGAGTTGAAGTCCACCACTCATAAAGGGGCCATAGTTCCCCACTTCCGTTGTAGGAAGAAACAGGAAAAGCTCATAACATTTGAGCTAAGAAATATGGAGTGAATGGCCTGAACATTGAATGTACCTTTGTCCTTGGGGCTCTTATTCTCCACGAGATCTGAAAAGCTGAATTACAATGCTTTTATTTCCTTGCTACAGATGAAGTGGGTTGTGTAGATCCAGCAATCTGTGAAAAAGTCTGTGGCGCTAAAGTGGGATGTTCCAACATTGCCTACCCTAAGCTGGTAATGGAACTCATGCCTGTTGGTGAGATCCGCTTCATTTATTCTGAGAAGGAGGGGAGATTCTGAATCAGCTAGATTAGGGCTCCCTTGCAGATGGAAGCTAACTCAAGTTTCCTTTTGGTTCCTTAGGACTCCGTGGTCTCATGATTGCTGTGATCATGGCTGCCTTGATGAGCTCTCTTACCTCCATTTTCAATAGCAGCAGTACTCTCTTTGCCATAGATATCTGGCAGCGGCTTCGTAAGAAAGCTACAGAGCAGGAACTTATGATTGTTGGAAGGTGATTTTTTTTTTTTGTCTTACTAGAGTTTTGTGCATTTACCTGAATGGTTAGGGCTCTGGGAGTTCAAATCCAAAATCTTTTAGAGGGTAGCATATTTGACAAGGTTAATTTGATGAGCTTGGATCCACATTATATACGTCAACATCTGGTTCGCTGCTTCTGTTACTGCTTCATGTACCCATCTGCCAGGCATTCTTCGCAGAGACTTCTAATAAAATCTTGTTGGAGACCAACTAATTCGGCAGCGATGACAAGACTGCAATCCTTTCTCATAGAACCAAATACAAATACTAGAAATGGCTTTGTGCGCAATTTTAAATGAAAGCTGAAGCAGCCCAAATAGAATCCAAAGCCTCTGATTCCAAAGCAGATAACTATATCAACCACTGCCCTCCAGGACTGATGACCTCCAAATGCCATTCACTGTTCTGCATTCTGGGAAATTAATTATCTACTTTTATACATTTAAGGGATACTCCTGCAGGGTTGAAAATGACACCTGTGTATAAATTGTCAATAGTCGCTGCAGATGCCTTACATTTATGGGCTGTGAAGTAACCATTTTGGACAGTGGCTTTGTATATGTCTTTTAATAAAATTCTTCCCCCTTTTGCCATTTTGACTGATGAAATATTTTTGTACCTGAAGTTTTAAAGTGATCTTTTGTTCACTTCCCCCAAAGTCTTTCTGTCCAGCAGTGAAATGCTTCCCTCCCCACTTTATTTTCCAAGAGGTTTACTGAAAGAAGTTAGATTGTTCAAGTTGTGCAAAAGTAACTGTATTTTCTCTTGTTATCTCAGGGTGTTTGTTCTGATTCTCGTTGCCATTAGCATCCTTTGGATCCCCATCATCCAGACAGCCAATAGTGGTCAGCTCTTCGACTATATTCAGTCAATAACCAGTTACCTAGCACCACCCATCACTGCTCTGTTTATCCTAGCAATCTTCTGCAGGAGAATCAATGAGCCAGTAAGTACAGAATCAATGAGAAGGTTTATATGAATAATAGTACCTTCCCAAAGTCATCATTTCATAGTTTTTTTTTTAAGGGCAGACAAGACCATTCATTACAATTATATTGACTGCTGAATGCAACAACTTTGGAATTTAGTCCCATTAGAGCACAATTTCAGTTTAAAAAGATTCTTAAGACTTTGATTACTGGTTTAACGGAAAATAGTGACAGGCTCAGGAAGGAATGGAAAGGGGAGGAGAAAGAAATATTATAAAGAATTGCATTATATTATTTCCCCCAAAAGTTTAGAAAGTAATTCTTATTCTGAGACAGAATTTCTCTACCTTTAATCTTTTAGCCATCAAATCTCCTTTGATTTGACACTTCAAGAGAGCACAGTCTTATATAATTATGTGGGAGATATATCCATAGGAATCAAGTGCGATTTCACTAGTCTCTTTTCAATAAACTTAATAAATAGCTTTTCTTCTTAGAATGTTATATCCTTATATTAGCAAGTCAGACTAAGTTCCATAATTCCCCACAATTTCTGCTTAACTTGCTGTGAGAGTCAATAATCACAATCAGTTATTCCATGATGCAAACCCTCCCTCAGAAATAATATGCCCTTTCTGTTTTAAGAACAATAGTTGTGCACGTCCAAAACCCATGGTGTGCTACAAGTGTTCAGTAAGATGGGGGGGAAATCGTATCAAATATTGACTACACAAAATAAAACCTGACTGATGGAGAGTCAGTGGGTAAAAAGTAAGCCATTGTCTTATTTTTTGGTAAAGAAGATAAATTACAAAAAGAAACAAAAACAAGTTATAAGTATCTTCTTTTAGCCTACTGTTAGAAGCATAAGATAATTTTCTAGTTGTTTGATCAGGCTTCCAACAAAATCTGTTGTTGTGTAATTTTTAATCTTTAAATTTATCATAGTCTTTCATACAGGTCTGGGGTACAAAATTCTTAATAGCATTAGATAGCAGCAAATGGACATAGAAAACTTTCATATCTTGCTGCCATCCAGATTTTTCAATCCAGATTTGGTAAACCTCTCAATAACTTATGGATAAAAAAATCTGCTAAATTAGAAATAGAGATTTAATAGAAGACATTCTACATTTATGGATATTACATCTGGGCTAAAACATCTGGATTCTTAGTAGATGACAGTAAAGAGTCACAACATTTGTTGTAGAAAATCCAGCACTCCTTATCTGGAAGCTCTGTTAGATTTATATATCACCATTTGGTTTTGAGACAACAGTGGTTCTCATAAATATCTCTCTGTTACAATTTTAAATTTTGTTTAATTTTAAATAAAAATACTTTAAATCAAATGTACCCCAAAAGTAAGTATGAAAAAAAAATCTTGGCCCCTTTTCACTGTAATCTTGGCAATGAAGCCTGTAAATAAACTGAAGTTACCACAATTTATGTCAATAACATTATCTTTTCATATTTTTTCTAGGGAGCTTTCTGGGGTCTAATGTTTGGACTAGTAGTGGGATTTATTCGGATGGTTATGGAATTCATCTACACAGCACCCTCTTGTGGAGAGGAGGATCAAAGACCATCTGTATTGAAAGACGTTCATTATTTGTACTTTGCTATTATTCTGTTTGGGCTCACCGTTGCTGTTATAGTCTTTGTGAGCCTCTGCACGCCACCAATTCCAGAAGAAAATGTAAGTGATATTTTAGCATGACATCTATTGTTTCAAATCTATTTTTAGCCTCTGCTTGCTTTGTTATCTTAAGAGCTTTGTATTTTGGATAGTAATATTTTGGTAAACCTTTGCTCTACAAAGTTCTTGAATATATATATAAATGGAAATTGAGAACCACCTGGTTTCCATATTGTGAAGCAACTAACGCACAATGCACACGCTATCAAGAAGAAAGCCAGACAGTGGATAAGAAATTATATTACAGCAGGCAGAAGGAGGAAATGTAATTGCTCTAATTGAACCCTTTTTCATATTTCAGTATAGACAGCATCAATCTTGTGAGCTAAAAAGATTAATATTGTTGGAGCTCTGGCATTTAGAAAGAGCATTTCATTCCAGACCAATCTCAATTACATTGTACAATCTAAGTTTAGCAACAAAGAATTTCTTTTGCTGCTTTAAAACAAACACAAAAAATTTAAATCCAGCAAGTACCTAAACATTTCATTTAAATATCACTGGTTTTATGGAATGAGTTTGTGATTCATTAGATGTTTATCTCCAATATAGGAAACTTCTAAATCCTGCTATAAGTGATTAGAAAATCTGTTATGATAACTGTAGATTTAGAACATTCAGATTATGCCACACTTTCTCAAACTGAGTCAGAAGACACCTACCACATTCAACCGAACTGAGACCAGTGGTTTTACAAATAAATACATATTTTCAGGAGGATATTTGGATACAGATTTTAACTGATTATTTGTAACTTCACCAAGAGGACATTTTTGTTGTATAATAAATAGAATGAATAATAAGTAACTCATTTTCTTCTTTCCTTTGAATAAATGAAAAACTGCTACAGCCAAACTGATGAATTGAAAAATATAATTTATTTTCTATTTTTTGTCTGATACTATTATATTGTATTGGAGTACAGTAGAGTATTTATTATATTATAATATATGATGTTATGTTATCCTACATTACTATACTATACTATATTATATTATCAATAAACATTTAGATAAGAGTCAGTTTGGTGTAGGGATTGCAGGCAGTGGCCTAGAAACTGGTACACTTGAGTTCTAGTTCTGATTTAAGCATGAAGTCAGTTGGGTAACTTTAGGCCAGTCACTCTTTCTCAATCCTAGGAAGAAGGTAATGGCAAACCACTTTTGAAAAACGTTACCAAGACTTGTCCACAGTCAGCTAGGACTCAAGAGTGATTTAAAGCCACACAAAAAGAAAAAAATATAGGTAGCTATGTTTCATGAAGGACCTTCCAACCTCTAGGTGGACCTATTGATGATCTTCTACATTCAAAATATGGGCCCCACAATTTCCATACGACATTTCTAAATATAATATTGTGTAAATAAAAGTTGGGTTCATATTCTCTGTGGAAACTTCTGGATGTGTTTCTTGTAGTTTTCACAGTTCTTTCAACAGGGCTAACAATACAACTACCTGTGTTGTTAGTTTTATATAAGAACAAAAAGAAAAGAGGTAAACAAAATGTTGAATCATTTGTGTTGGTGTTGCAGAATTTTTAAGCACCCCAATAATCTCTGCCTAGGCTACATCAAGGTAAGGAGGGGCGTGGGGGAGGGGGAACAGACTGCAGATGAAATCTATGCTGGAATGGTAATGTTAATGCTGTTCCTTATGTAGTTGGATACAACCTTATGATGTAACTATAACATTTCATTGTTTTGATCTTGTTCTGAACTGTTGTCTATGCCTATTCAGGAAATTTTAGGGGATGCCATATATAGGGAGGTTATATATCTGAGCTCCAACCACGAATCTCTTGCAAATAAGAATAAATAGGTGTATTTTACAGTTATACACATTTGTTGGACTTAAGCTGGTATGAAAGGTTTTGTATCTTCTTTTAAAAAGTCAGAGGGAGGGAGATAAAAGCAGACAAATCCAGTTAGTGTAAATATGCTAACGTCTTGATCTAGAAACTAGAAGATTGTGTCTTCTAGTCCTCTCTTGTTGTTTTAGAGAAAACGGGAGGCAGAACCATTATGTGCATTATCTTGCATAGCATCTTACCTTGACAGGATAATAAAGTTTCAACCATTTGTTCTTGCTTGACTCCTTCTATATTCTTTGTCTTCACTTTATTCTAGTACTACCCCTCCCAAGGAAAATCCTCCCTAAAAACATTATTTAGGAATCATCAAATCAAAGCAATTTTGCACGATGTGGCAAGAAAGATTAGCCTTGCCTGATCCTCATCTTGCTTGAAAAAAATTGAAATGTACGGTTCTACATTTAGGCAAGAAAAAAGCAAAGGCACAGATGTAGTATAGGTGGTACCTGGCTCAATAGTAGTAACTGTAAGACAGATCTCAGAGTCCTAGTGGACAACCATTTAAATATGAGCCAGCAGTGTGCTGCAGCTGCCAAAAAGTCCAATGCAGTTCTAGGCTGCATTAACAGAGGGATAGAACTGAAGGATTAATACCACTTTATAATGCCTTGGTAAGACCACACACCCAATGTAAAAAAGAAGTTGAGACTCTAGAAAGAGTGCAGAGAAGAGCAACAAAGATGATTAGAGGACTGGAGGATAAAATATGTAAAGAATGATTGCTGGAATTGGGTATGTCTAGTTTAATGAAAAGAAGGCCTGGGGAGACATGATAGTAGTGTTCCAATATCTCAGAGGCTGCCACAAAGAAGAGGGGATAAAGCTATTTTCCAAAGCACCTGAGGGCAGGACAAGAAGCAATGGATGGAAGCTAATCAAGGAAAGAAGGAACCTAGACCTAAGAAGAAATTTCATGAAATTTCAATTAATCAGTAGAACAACTTGCCTCCAGAAGTTGTGAATGTTCCAACACTGGAAGTTTTCAAGAAAATATTGGACAACCATTTTTCTCAAATGCTATAGGGTTTCCTGCCTGAACAGGAAGTTGGATTAGAAGACCTCCAAAGTCCCTTCCAACTCTATTATTCTGTTCTATTCTATTCTATTCTATTCTATTCTATTCTATTCTATT